TTTATTCATTTTTTGGAAACATTTTCATGATCGCTTTTTTCGTTTTACATTTTCATTTATTGTCATTTCCATTCAGTCATTAAGTGCTATTTAAAATGTTAATTTGCTACATATCCACACAAACGAACAAAGTGTGCAATCCAATGAATGTTAATCTAACTGGGTTTTGATAGATAACATATCTCTTTTCCTTCTCTCAATTATTTTATTTCTTTTGTGCACTCTAATCAATATTAATCAAACGATTGTTCGTTTATACATTTTAAGAATGGCGTTTATCTTTTTTGAGAATGAGTTCTTATTTTATTTCATGTATTTGGGTCTACAACAGATGATACAAATGTTTGTGTCAGTAAATGTGTACTAACAGAGGCGGGGGTGTGTGTGGAAATAACGGGGACAGAGCTGCTGCCAGACGAACAGCTGTGCAGCGTCATCACAAACGGACGTTGCTTCACGTGACGCTCCGGAGGAAAGGACGTCCCATTGCTCTTAAAACTCATTTCCCTGCTTCTCGTGGTTTCCTTAGAGGCTTCTCAATACTCAAATTTCCCCTCTTCGACTCCTCGGTCCTCGGTCCTCCGGTAGTGACCCGGAAATGAATTTCAGCGCGCCATTTTGAAGGACGTCTCATTTCTCTAAATGCACACCGAGGACCGAGGATCGAGCGTCGAGGAGGCTCTCTGGAGGAGCTATAACCGAGGATACACTGATGGTTCCTCCACGGCTCCTCCGCGGATGCATTTCCGGGAACGGTGGAGGCGTGACGCACGGCCGGACTTATCTCAGCCAATGACAGCTCTGCATGCATCCCCTGGATATTATTTTAGAAACTGCTTTCATCGCGTCGCGATGTTTACAGAGAAAACAGCTGTGAGGTCCGTGCAGAAAGCAGAGCAGTGTACAATATCACTCAGTATAACAGGCCTACATTACTCTCTTTATTTGCTGTAGTACAAAGAGTCGATATTTTTCTAAGACCATTTAGTGCTTCACATAATAAAATACACAACGGCTGTAGCCTGATTATGCTTTAGGAGCTGTAAGTGTGTGTTGTAGGCAGTGTGTATGTGTGTGTATGGTACAGTATGTAGGTGTGTGTGTTGTACAGTGCGTAGATGCGGCGGACAGACGGGTCTCAGTTGGTTTGGTGTCCTCTGCTTACTTTTAATTTAATTTCAAATCTTTATTTATACAGATAAATCCCATTGAGATCATTGATCTCTTTTTCAAGGGAGACCTGCTCAAGTAGTTCCACATGAAACATAAAAACATAAATAGAACAACAAAAGGACATCATACAGCATCATTTACATAATTATCCACATAAACAGGTACCAATAGCTTCCGATTGAGTAGCATCCAACCGAGCTTTAAAAACATTTAGTGGCACCAGATTGTTCAGTTTCCATTTAATTTGCATACTATTCCAAGACAGAGGAGCTGCGCATTTAAAAGCTGTCTTCCCTAAGACAGTCCTAGCAGTTGGCACATTTAATAAAACCACAGCATTCGATCTCAGGCAGTAGCCACTTACAATTCTCCGTGAGATCAGGGAGCAGATATAAGATGGAAGTTTCCCTAACATGGCTTTGTATGTTAGGGAAACTTCCATCTTATATCTGCTCCCTGATCTCACAGAGAATTGTAAGTGGCTTATTATTATTACAAGTTAATACTTGTAAATACAACTTTTGGCCCGTAATTTCAATTCCCCATTTCAGCGACAGAGAGAGGGGGGGATATATCCAGTCTCTGATTGTGTTACGTTACTATGAGAGTGCTCTCATACTTTAAATTGTATATATTTATATAAATATATTTGTGTGTCCGCATCTGTAGCCTGTTATTGTCTCATTAGCCTATACCGCACTCTCAATTAATTCAAAGTAAATATGTGGGGGAACAATGTTCAGCTGATCTAACAGAGATTATAAAATACAGCGCTATGACAAAACACTCGACAGCTGATGCAGCTGTTGCCACGTAATAATGAACGGACGTCTCTTTAATATGACCGCTCAGAGGAGAGGAGTTCTCATTTCTTTAAACGCCTGCTGCTTCCCCTCCTCTCTCCTCGGTTCCCCTCCTCGGTCCTCCGCTCGCATCTCCTGTGGGCGGGTCTAAGTATCGAGGAGGGGAACCGAGGAGGGGAGTCGAGGAGGGGAAATTTGAGTATTGAGAAGCCTCTATAGCGTCCCTCCATGCTTCCCTGGTGGGAGGGACTAAACGCAGGGAAACGACGCAAGTGAGGGAAGCAAGGATTTCATTTAATCGATCTGAGAAGCAGCCCGTGTCAGATTTTGGTTATTTTGGGGAGGTCGAGATCAATCATATTGTTTGGTGGATGCAGTTTGAACCAGAGTAGCAGCATGGAGGTCGGATCGTCACCAAAATAAATAAATAAGTGGTCCGAAAAAGGTTCATGACAAAAAAAATACACATAGCCTTCCTCAGGCAGTGTGTTTGTACCGGGGACAGGAGACACCCCCTTGATGAGAAACTCTAAGAAATGATCGGGGAATCCCTCCGGAGTGGAGTCATGACGACTGGATCTGAATTATGTTTTCGTATTTGGTGGTTTGTGTCCCAGCTGTCGATCAGCTGTGCGCAGCGTCTCCACTGCTGCAACTCTATATCCACCAGTTAAAGGAAATACAACTAATGTGTTGTGTTATATTAGCTGTACAATTTACCAAATATGGTGTTCCATACCTCCTGTGTTTTATGAGCGACTTATCAAGTCTTAGCAAACGGCATAAAACACGATTAAACATGGTAGTATATAAAACCATTCTCGTATAACCTATAGAAAAGCAAAACGGCGTCAGTTTAGACGTAATTCTGTCCTCCTGCTTACCTCATCATTTATGAGAAAACATTTCATAACATTAACACAACATATTCGAGGTGGTTTTAAATGTTGTCTTTTGTCCGCTTTAATGTGTTATTAAGGTAGGGTTAATGTTGCTCTCAAAGTGCACCAGATTGATGCTTTCAACTTCAATATTTTAAAAAAAATCTTCCCGGGAGAGCATGCCCCCGGACCCCCCGAGAGGAGGCGACGACCCCCCTAAAGGATGTTCGGTCCATCCCCCACTTATAAAAAATAGCACTGTACCCCTGCAGCCCTTCATGCTCTCTATGGGCTACTTGACGGGCATCGCCAGGAAGACCCTCTGCTATACAAAACAAAACGTGACTACACGTAAGTAGTGATGTTACGTATTGCGCCGAGGCTTCGGAGCGTGTGTCGAGTAATCCCCGAAGCTTTTTGTGAAGCATGTATCAAGGCTTGTATCGTTTTGGGCCAGTGACGTCATCGATGACAAACGAAGCCTCGCTGCCTGTCGATACCACGTGACTGCTTCACGAAGCGATTCAGATCGGTTGAACCGTTGAACCACAACGCTCATAATACCCATGGATGAATAATAAGAACCATATTACCCCTCCTGTACCCGGCGACACGATGAAATCAAGAGAGCTCAGACCCTCACTTATAGAGGTCGAAACATGTCATAATAAATAGATACAAGCATAAATAAATGTAGGAATAAAAACATCAATAAATACAGGAATACATATGTTGCAGTGTTTTCAGGGAGCTTTAGTGTCTGTACTGTGGCTCAGCTGGAAAGCAGTTGACTCATGACCTCAACGACTGAACAATACGTATTTGTTGTTGTTTATAAAAGCTACAGCTAAATGAGATAATGTAGTTAATAAATGTATTCTTTGATATGGTTTAGCCTTTCTCAGGCTCCAACATGGTTAAGTTTATGAATATTATTAAGGAATACAAATCCCTCTTTGCAATGTTTACCAGCTGTAATATCTTGGATATTAACAGACAACGGAACAGTTGGTTATTTAACAGGACGCTTTATTGCTCCCTCCGGTGGTTCTCCCGCCACCCCCACTTACTGTAACTGTCGTAAACATGCCGTAACGTATATGACAACTCCCCTTGTAGTCAGTTAACAATAGGCGCATTCACACCGCAGTACTTTTCCCACAAAGGTTCATGAGAACTTAGTTCATGAGAACTCTTTTGTCGCGTTCACACCAAAAAGAGCCGGTACTAAAATTAGTTCATGAGAACCTTTTTACCCCCACGAAAGTCCCTGCTAGAGAGCAGGGACTTTCGAGCGGCTCTCTTGTGAGAAAAGAGCTATATTTCTGATTGGCTGGGCGGATTGCAAACCACGCCCCGTAAAACTCCCAAAAAGTTTTGTGAAGCCGCCATTTTCTTATCCTCGCATTAGCGTTATTAGCATTAGCATTAGCCCAGCGCAGAAACGCAGAGAGACTAACTTATGGCAACACAACATAAAACATGGGAGTGGTGGAGATGAGGAGGTGTCGGCGTTCTGGCGACTTACTCGGAAGGCTTCAGTAGAAGCTGCTGGGAGTCCCAGCAGCTTCTACTGAAGCCAGTCCCCAACTCCGGGGACTTCCGGCCGGGGACTTTGGGCGGCAGTATACGCCGTGAAGTGGTTTGCGGCCTGCCAGTAAACCCAAAGCAGAAGAAGAAGAAGTGACGTCAGCGGCTTCATTTACCTAATCCTCCCCCAGGGACTTATTCCGGTGTGAACGCGATCTGTACTTAGTTCATGAGAACTAAAGAGTTCTCATGAACTAAGTTCTCATGAACCTTTGTGGGAAAAGTACTGCGGTGTGAATGCGCCTAAGACTATGACACCAGCCTCCTTCGGCTTTTCAATCACAATCATTAAACTGGAATAAATACAATATTGTTAACATGAAAATATGATGTTATGTTCGTTGTTTCGATGTATTCTAAGGCTTTACTCATTGGGACCTCGGTATGAGATAGAGCACACACTGTTGAGATGTCCAACCTGCCTGTTTTACACACTTTGACCAACAGGGGGGTTTGTGTTCAAATGAAGCCCATGATGAAGCCTCATGAGATGAACCCTTTTGCGAACCAATTGGCTGGAAAGCTTCAAAGCTTCATAAGGCTTCATCTCGCCATCACTACACGTAAGTATGATAGAGAATTGCGAAACTTTACCTGAAGCCAGATATTCTCCTACAACATACCTACGCCAGTGGCGGAAGCAAAACACGGCAAGAACGGAAGTGGGTAGGTCTGGGCACCAGCGAACAAGAGGCCGCTCTCTGCCCCTTTATAGGGTGCCCCTTGGCGGTGATAGGCTAAAAAGAATATGCCTTACAACACTATGTACTGCTCATCCTGCTACACTGGCACTCAAAACAGCGAAACCATAGCTCCAAAACTCTAACCACATTTTCAGCTCTGCACCCAAATGTCACTTCCACATGGCCCTTTCTGAAAACACTGCACACGGTTCTGTAAGTAAAACACGGGAATCTGGCGTAAAGCACTGCCATTACTGTAAAACTGCAGCAACATTAACCGTTAAAGTTAACACTTTTGCTAACTCTGTAGATAGTTTTAAAATCAGAATCCAGTTCATTGTAGTGAAGTAGGTTTAATTCCCTCATATAACTCTTGTTGTGTTTCATGCTGCTTTGTTTTGTGTGTGTGTGTTTGCATTTGTGCAACTGTTTCCTATCAAAGAGAGCAGGACTGCAGCTCATGATTTAAGAATCAGTATTCATTATACACCTGAACATCAGCAGGAGAGGACTCTTTAAATTATAGACACTTCATACTGATATACACCTGAACATCAGCAGGAGAGGACTCTTTAAAGTAGAGACACTACATACTGATATACACCTGAACATCAGCAGGAGAGGACTCTTTAAAGTATAGACACTTCATACTGATATACACCTGAACATCAGCAGGAGAGGACTCTTTAAAGTATAGACACTTCATACTGATATACACCTGAACATCAGCAGGAGAGGACTCTTTAAAGTATAGACACTACATACTGATATACACCTGAACATCAGCAGGAGAGGACTCTTTAAAGTAGAGACACTACATACTGATATACACCTGAACATCAGCAGGAGAGGACTCTTTAAAGTAGAGACACTACATACTGATATACACCTGAACATCAGCAGGAGAGGACTCTTTAAAGTAGGAGAACACTACATACTGATATACACCTGAACATCAGCAGGAGAGGACTCTTTAAAGTAGAGACACTACATACTGATATACACCTGAACATCAGCAGGAGAGGACTCTTTAAAGTAGAGACACTACATACTGATATAGACCTGAACATCAGCAGGAGAGGACTCTTTAAAGTAGAGACACTATATACTGATATACACCTGAACATCAGCAGGAGAGGACTCTTTAAAGTAGAGACACTACATGATATATATCTGAACATCAGCAGGTGAGGACTCTTTAAAGTAGAGACACTACATGATATACATCTGAACATCAGCAGGAGAGGACTCTTTAAAGTAGAGACACTACATGATATATATCTGAACATCAGCAGGAGAGGACTCTTTAAAGTAGAGACACTACATGATATACATCTGAACATCAGCAGGAGAGGACTCTTTAAAGTAGAGACACTACATAGCCTACTGATATACACCTGAACATCAGCAGGAGAGGACTCTTTAAAGTAGAGACACTACATGATATACACCTGAACATCAGCAGGAGAGGACTCTTTAAAGTAGAGACACTACATGATATACACCTGAACATCAGCAGGAGAGGACTCTTTAAAGTAGAGACACTACATGATATACACCTGAACATCAGCAGGAGAGGACTCTTTAAAGTAGAGACACTACATGATATACACCTGAACATCAGCAGGAGAGGACTCTTTAAAGTAGAGACACTACATACTGATATACACCTGAACATCAGCAGGAGAGGACTCTTTAAAGTAGAGACACTACATACTGATATACACCTGAACATCAGCAGGAGAGGACTCTTTAAAGTAGAGACGCTACATACTGATATACACCTGAACATCAGCAGGAGAGGACTCTTTAAAGTAGAGACACTACATAACATAAACACATATTTCTCGATGATGATACCTCACACAGTAAATTGATATCATTGTGATTCCTATATGTTATTCATGTGTCTGTGTCTGTGTAGGTGTTGAGGTGTTGAGGTGGGGTTCCCTGCAGGATATAAGCTAACGAGCAGTTAGCTGCTGCTTCTCCTACAGTCATGTCAGCTGCTGCCTTTGGTGTAGGCGTGTTTTTCCCAGTGTCGGTGAAGGTGGAGGGTTGATTTGCATACAAAGATATTCTCTCCTCCTCTTTGTTCTCGCTCAGAGAGAGTGGTTGTCTTCATCAGTCAGACGAGTTTATCTCAGTGGTTCGGGGCAGGTTTGGCGTGACGTCGGGCCGAGGCAAAACTTTTGTGTGCTACCCTGCAGTATACAAATTCATTAAAACTAGCTGCACCTTTTCCAGCTTTGATAACACTTTAATATCAATAATTATAAAACATATATTATTCTGAAATGCACCAATCTGCATAATGACTACTTTTACTGTCGATACTATATTTTGATGATAATACTTTTCTACTTTTACTTGAGTAACATTTTGATTGCAGGACTTTTACTGTAACAGAGTATTCCTACACTCTGGTACTTCTACTTTTACTCAAGTTCAACATCTGAGTACTTCTACTTTTACTAAGGGACACTTAAATCAGACTTTAGTTCCACCTGGAGTAAATTCACAAGCTACCCTGCAGTATACAAAGGCAATCAAACTAGCTGCACCTTTACCAGCTTTGAGAACACTTTCATGATCAATCATTCTATCAAAACCTATATAATGGAAATCAAATGTATGATTACAAACAAAAACATTTTCCCCAACGTTTAAAATCCGCCTACCAGTCCCATATTTATATATTATTATTATTATTATATATATTATTATTATTGTTGTAATTCATATTTATTTGAATACCGTTTTACACCACAGGGAGGCAGTGAATTTATGTTTAAAAGAAAAACTAAAATCCCATGATGCATTGCGGCTGTCCGTTTCTAGCTTCCGGTCCTCAGAAGCTAGAGGTTGCTAACAGACGTTGACGCAGATTTTACACCGAATGTAATGTATTTAAGAGACTTTTAAAACACATACAAACAGGTAGTTTATCCTTGTAGGATGATTTATCCGTGTTTTCATCCGTTAAACCGTGTTTTTGTGGCCTCCCGTTCTTTGTTCATAGCCTTTACACCACGTTGCTAATCGGTAAACATAAGTAAAGGCATTGATTAAAGGGAGATTAGTGTGTTTAACGGCAGTGTTTTATCAAGGTGCGTGTGTGGGGTAACTAAAGGTATTCAATAATGTCTTACCAGACATGTGCAACTAGACAGAACATCCTGAACTCTTAACCTATGCACATTATGCATTTTAGAAAGTGCAAGCAAAGCATCAAAGTTCAAACCACAATTCTAGGAAGGCATTGTGGTTTTTGACACCTTGACAACGGTTACAACTATTGAGGACAACAATGCACACAGGATGAGAGTGAACTGTGTACAGACTTGATGATTTTCGGTCCAGTATCCAGGAGCAACACATCTTAGAGACATTTTTGTTCAGGTTGTTTCTGTTAATAAATGAAATGTGCATATTTTCAATTGAAGTTAAAATAAATCTCAATTATAAACATGACATTGAAAATGTGTTTTGCTTTCATAACACATTTCATATTCCCTTTTGTTAAAATTGCATATCATTACTATAGTCTTCATTTGTTTAATTTTAACTTTACATTTTTAATTGATTCACTGAGTAAGAATTGAACCTATGTGACCTCCTTCTCACTCAAAGATAGAAAAGGGGAAACCATCTGATGTAGAGAGGGAGGAGGGAAGAGGCTATAAAAGATGAGTGAAGAGAAACGGGGGAGCTTGGTGGGACTTTTTTGAGGCTTGAATTTGGGCTTGGGCTTTTTTAGGGCTCTAGGGGGCTCACTTGGGAACCTGTTGCTTTTGTACTTTGACCTTGTGTCCTTGTAAAACTTTTGTTATTTTTTTGGATCTTGTAAATCCTCTATATTTGTTAAAAACCATTTAAACATTTCGACCCAATTCCTGGTCTCTGAAGGTATCTGCTTGGTCTTAGAGTAAGGTAAGAACACCCTTCCTTGAAAAAGGCTGACAGTAGTTGATAATTTGGACTTTAAATTGTTTAAGGGAAATAGAAACCCTGCTAAGGTTAAACTGTAGTTTCATATTGGTTACTGTGGTTGATTGATTGATGCTGAAATATGACATGTGCTCTGCTGATGTGGTAATATCACTGCTGTGATATCAGTATTTGACTCTGGCTATGTTTGATATTACATTTTCATTGTTTTAATTGGCATAACTGGTTAAAAGAGGGGGTTAGAGATTGTGGGTCCTGAAGCGGCCCTAATTACCAGGGAGTCTCCCAACCACACAGGGTTTCTCCTCCAGGGGCAGTTTAGATACTGCTCTGGGTTCTACCAGCCCAACAACACCTACTGCACTACACACTCCGTTTTGCTATCCTGGCGGTCGCACATCTGATGCTTTAGTGCCTGAAATAAGTGATACGACGGGCAGCTGGTGTTAGAGGCCACGCTGTTAGCTGCCCCCCTAAGCAGATTATGGTGATCTTGCATTTAGATTCTGGGGTTAGTCCTAAAGATAGGACGGCCGTTTTCCGGAGCCTTATCAGCATCTGAGTTCGGTATCGAAGATGACCTAGATATCAACGTTGGTTGTATCGAAGTTAGATTCCTTTTCAATTGTAAAGTACAAGTACCTCTAAATAGTACTTAAGTATAGTACTTGAGTAAATGTACTTAGTTACTTCTCAACCTTTGCTATCAACCAAAGACGTAGCTCTAGATTTGTCTTGTTGTGTCTGTTGGTTGTATTGAGTTGTCTTGTTTTGTGTCAGCTGTAGTTGTGTTGATTATTTCAGAGACACAGCCGGAGAAGGAGCACTGAGAGCAGCATGGAGGAGAACAAAAAGACCCCTGGAGCTCAGGTCAGTGTGCACTTCATCACAATATATTCCTTACATTGTTATCCCCAAATTAAAGATCACAACCTGTTTAGAAAATACAATAGTAATGCACAATATGGTTAGATATGGGTTAGAACGTTACTACTTACTCTGATTAGAACGTTGCTGTATTTAAAAAAAAAAATTTAAACATTTATTTATTGATCTTTTACATTTATGAAATTACACAAACACAACCGAACATTCCCCAACATTAGACATATGGCAGATTACAAAATAATGCAATTTTTTTAAAGTGTGCAGATACTAGAATCATCAATCAGTTTAAAATACAGACCAATAATATAATTACATTAGCAACTTCAACAAAAATACAATAAAAGCAGATCCACTAACAGAGCAGAGTACAGCTTACAATTCTCCAAATAGATTAACCAAATTCAACCTTTCCTCACAGTAGATTAGTTCACTTTAATCTTCCATCGCTTCTGCAATGTCCCCACTTTTTATAAATTCCAAAAACAATTCCCAAATGGTGTAAAAATTCAGAAGCTTTCTTCCTTAGTATATGTGTGAGTTTCTCAAGAGCCAGACTCAAATTTAAATTGTTTAACCTGTGGCCCAGGGAGGGGCAACCAACATTTCCCCAACACAAAGCAATTGAGCACCTGGCTTGTAGAAATGACGCTGAAGTTGGCTTCCGATTCAGAGCATCCGATTCGGCAGTTAAGGGACATTTAATTTACAGCGCTGAGCGAACAATCCTCCGTGTTTGAACCTCTTAAATCGCTGCATAGCCGATTTATTTGGACTGGATTATCCCAGAGAGTCTAAAGATTCTTTATAACCCAGTTTGAGATTTGTGAAACCTTTATTCTATTTGTGAAAATACAAACAAGGGAGATTTCAGTGCTTTTTTTTACATGTAGACCACATTAGACCAGGTCCTGATCTAAAACCACTAGATCTACACTCATCAAATCTGGACTGGATTATCCCACGGAGGCTAAAGATTCTTTATAACACAGTTTGAGATTTGTGAAACCTTAATTCTATTTGTGAAAATACAAACAAGAGAGATTTTGCTGCTTTAAAAAAAAAAATCTAGACCACATTAGACCAGGTCCTGATCTGAAACCACTAGACCTAGACTCATCAAATCTGGACTGGATTATCCCAGAGGGTCTAAAGATTCTTTATAACACAGTTTGAGATTTGTGAAACCTTTATTCTATTTGTGAAAATACAAAAAGTGAGATTTCAGTGCTTTTTTCACATGTAGACCACATTAGACCAGGTCCTGATCTAAAACCACTAGACCTAGACTAGACTAGGAGGAGCATACACTTATTTTTATTTATTTATTCATTTGTTTAAAAGGGACAGTGCACATTAATTAACATTCCTGTAAATGTGCCAGAGTTAGCCCTGTCCCTGGACAGATTTTCTAAGTGAACCTAAAATAAATTTCATTTAAACAAGTAAATACAATCAAATTAAAACATGCAACATACATAACTGGAATACTTAAATAAATAAAAAGACAGAACAATAAAACAAAACAAAAGAACATGTTGTGACGACCCCTCCCCCCTTCTGCCTGTCTGTGCTCCCTGCCTTGCTGTCCTCTGGCAGGTACTGGGAGTGTCGTCCTGTTTGTGCCCGCCCATCTAGAGGCGGAGCCTCAAGAAGGCATAAATGGGCCAAGTTAACATTTATTAAAATACATCATTATGAACGTGAGCATTCCTTTTTAAAATTATTATTATTTTCATTATATTAAAATATCACTTGGCAGACATTGATAATAAAACAATGCTCCATAAGTCTGTGCTCAAAAAAATAAATACATAATACAATTTTGCAATCCCTTTGCTAGAACAATAAGTTATAATTAGGGCTGGGACTCGATTAAAAAAATTAATCTAATTAATTAGAGGCTTTGTAATTAATTAATCGAAATTAATCGCATTTTTAATCACATATAAATATTTGACCTGAGAACAGTGAGAAGCAATTTTTTTTACATGGATTTTAGTATACCATTAGGCGCAGTCACACCGCAGTACTTTTCCCACAAAGGTTCATGAGAACTCTTTGAACCTGGGGGAGGATTAGGCAAATGAAGCCGCTGACGTCACTTCTTCTTCTTCTGCTTTGGGTTTACTGGCAGGCCGCAAACCACTTCACGGCGTATACTGCCGCCCAAAGTCCCCGGCCGGAAGTCCCCGGAGTTGGGGACTGGCTTCAGTAGAAGCTGCTGGGACTCCCAGCAGCTTCTACTGAAGCCTTCCGAGTAAATCGCTAGAACGCCGACACCTCCTCATCTCCACCGCTCCCATGTTTTATTTTGTGTTGCCATAAGTTAGTCTCTCTGCGTTTCTGCGCTGGGCTAATGCTAATGCTAATAATGCTAATGCGAGGATAATAAAATGGCGGCTTCACAAAACTTTTTGGGAGTTTTACGGGGCGTGGTTTGCAATCCGCCCAGCCAATCAGAAATATAGCTCTTTTCTCACAAGAGAGCCGTACGAAAGTCCCTGCTCTCTAGCAGCTCTCTGCTCTCTAGCAGGGACTTTCGTGGGGGTAAAAAGGTTCTCATGAACTAATTTTAGTACCGGCTCTTTTTGGTGTGAACGCGATAAAAGAGGCTAACGTCCACGCTAGCTGCTATATGTTTTGCATTGAGGTGATACTTGAGGCTTGGTGTGCTGCGGTGATATGCGAATTCCTTTTTGCATAATTTGCACACAACCGTGCTCTTATCGACGCTTCCATCCGTCCGTTTTTTAAAACAACATTTCCCACTGTTGTTCACTGTGGTTTGTTGTTGTCTGAAGTCATGAACGTTAGTTGGTGCTCCAGTATAATCGGTACGCCTGAAACTCATCCAGTGAGAAACGTTCCGCGGTGCAAAAATAAGTGCGATTAAAATGCGTTATTTTTTTTAACGCGTTAATTTTTGTGTAATTAATTAATCTTAATTAACGCGTTAAAGTCCCGGCCCTAGTTATAATACTTTGCCACTTTGCAATCTGTGAAAAAAAATGAAAAGAAAGAAAATGCTGATATTTGGCAAAGAAAGTGTGTCTTATCACAGGTGGCTGCAATGAGCCTGTTTGGCACTGCACATTTCTTCAAAACGGGGTTGCAGGCTCAGTCGCGGCGCCAGAGATTTTCTTTTGGGGGTGCTGTGGAGTAGCTTGACGTTTCATAGAGGCTGCTCAAACATTTAGGGTTTCCAATTAATGTACCGGTCGCTACAGTTGAACTTTGTACTGCAATAATGCCCACGCACATAGCCAGTATATCCGCGACTGTTACAATGAAGGCTCGATAATCAGCTCACGCTATACCATACGCCATACGTAAGCAGCGGTAAAGTGCTATTTTTATAGGTGTGTGGACCTAACCTCCTCTAGGAGGGTCGGGGGGCATGCTCCCCCGGGAAGATTTAAAAAAAAATATTATTCAATTCAATTCAAAACCTTTATTTATCCAGATAAAATCCCATTGAGATCAATGATCTCTTTTTCAAGGGAGACCTGCAGGTTAAAAAGCGACCTATCGCTTTCCAGTCTGTTAACCCAGAATGCAAAGCGATACAAAATCAGTCAAGTGCCGGGAAAACTCAAATTAAGTTAAAGAGACAAACAACAAAATGAGTGCAGGACCGAGCAAGAAGCTAAAGACAAACCACTTCCACCCAGAATAGGAGGAAGAATATTTTGTTGTGATGTCACATTCAAAGGTTATTTGCCTTATTTGTAAAGCAAGCGTCGCTCTGTCAAAGAAAGGTAACGTGGAGAGGCATTATCGGAGTGTTCACAAGGCATATGACAGCGACTTCCCTCCGAGTAGTGAGTTGAGAAAGGTCATGTATACACACTACTACTACTACACAAACATTATCTCGCAGTCTTAGTGTTGCCAACTCGTTTCTAATATGCAAAAAAACAAAAAAATGCGTCTATGGTCGGTGTATTTTCGACCTTTCCAATCCAGACGAGATCTCTCTCCCCCGTGTGTGAGGGGGGCGGGGCAGTTTACACACACTCGGCTGCTTCATGCAGGTGGGGATGGCGGAGAGAAGAGCTCCAAGGTGTGGTTAAATGTTACCCGTCTTGAGGCGGACAATGCTCGTTGCCAAGAGTGTTTAGCATGTGAGGGCGGTAACACGAGCAATTTGTATAAACATTTAGCAAAAGTGCACCACATTCAGACGGAGGAATTATGTATGCTAGCAGCAACACACGGAGTTAACACAATTATACAAACATGGGTTAATGATTAGAGGTAACTGAGTTACTCTTTATTTTGTTAAAGTTTCAGCTATTCTGTTTACAGTTCTGTCATCAGATTATTTAATACGATTTGTTAAAACATTGTTGTTTCTTTTGATGTGAAAATATTATTTATTTAATTTAAATAAAAAGCAATGTTAATTTTGTTCACAATTTGTTAAGTTAATTTAATAATATATGTATTTTTGAATCAAGTGTTCATCTTTATTGTCTTCATTGTTAGTTTCCACATGCCTAAAACAACCTCAAGCTAAATCTAAAAGTTGATGGCTAAACAAGAGCGTTTGAGAAATTGTGCAAGGCATACAGTAATAGTCTGAATAGTCGATTAATCATTTCATTAATCGATAGATTAATCGATTATCAAATTAGTCGTTTGTTGCAGCCCTATTGTAGTTATCCCATGTATAAATAAAACGTGTTATTCAGCAACCTTTGCCATTTGGGATTTTATTTTTGGTTGGTAGACCTCGGTGAGCTGGTCATTTCAAAAGTAGCTCACCAGCCAAAAAAGTGTGGGCACCCTTGATGTAGTTCATCTACTTTTAGTAGTTTGTTTGTAGAAGTGCATAATTCTTTGATTTATTGTAAAATGAATCTGAATTGTTTTGATCTGTTATGATGATAAACTGAAGCAATTTCAAAATTAACCTAATTAAGTTTTAAATCGTTCTACTTAGTTTATAAGGAAATTATGAAGAGGAACAAATTAAATGATTTGAAAATGATATCTATGTAGGTGCTGACGCTGTTGGCGGTTCTAGTGTTAACAGACATTTAAATTAAATATGTAAATGCCATATATGATTTTCTTATCTGGAATTCTGCCTTTTTGAACAGACTTTTTGAGTCCTAGCTATATTGTCTGCAGTTCTAGGGTTAATATGAATCTAATATGATTGTCATCGGTCTAAATTATATTTCAAATGATTAACTGTGGATGTAATGAAGATCATAGTGTGGGTTGAATCCATTTTCATAACCACTGTCTTTTAACTGATTTAAATGCAGAAACTGGGCTTATTCATCAGAATGTTGTATGACTTGACTTGACTTGCTTGACCTGAGCAATGACTTGACTTGCTTGACTCTCATCACAGTGACTTGGGACTTGCTTGATACTTGTAGGTCAAGACTTGAGACTTGCTCATGACTTGCACATGTAGTACTTACTCCCTCCTCTGGTTCACAGACTCTCTTGTTTTGCCAATCCGGTGTTTAAACAAATATCTCTACACCCCTGGCTGAAATGTCCCTAAGATTAAGTCCTAGTTTGAAATATATCTCAAATAATGTGTGCACTTTTTTCCCATTGTCCTTTAGGGGCTTCGTACAATACAAATGCAAATATTGTATTTTGAAAAGTAAAGTCCTTTCAAGTAATCCGTCTCAAGTCATGAATACCAAGTCAAAGTCAAGTCAAGTGTCAAGTCTTTTATCAATGTTAATCAAGTCTCAAGTCTAAAAATATGCGACTCGAGTCCCCCACCTCTGGTATATACTGTGGTTAGAATGTTGCCGTATTACTGTATCAAATATAATACAAATATAATAAATACAAACAGTTAGTACAAGTAGTATTTTGTTTACTGTATATGAATTAAAGGTGGGGCAGGTACATTTGAGAAACCGGCTCGAGATACATTTTTTGTTATATTCCATGGAATGCTCTTAACATCCCGATAGCAATGAATATCTTAAGTGCTTTGACAACAAATCCATAAAAAAATGTCATCTGTGGAAGCCGTAGTACTGTAAAAAGCACGACCAATCATCTGAGCCGGCCCGGCTAAAATAACTGGATGGCCTACCTGCCTGTCAGCCTTCCATCTGTGCACAAACTTATCTTGTGCCCTCATTTGTCATGTGCACGTTCGTGTGTGTTGGAGGAGGGGCTCTGTAAGGAAGTAGAAGATTTCTTCCGGCTGTGTATTTTCAAATTCTAGCGGATTCGAGCTGGTTTCTCCAAAATTACCTACCCCACCTTTAAGTATTAAGTGAGTTTTTATTGTTGACTCTATATGTATTCATGCTTTTTAGATTGACTTTCTCTCTTTTTCTGTCCGTCTGTTTTAGAAGGCGAAAGGAAGAGAGAGATGTCACAGCTGTCAGCAATGTGACAAATCCTTTACAACATCTGGAGATTTAAAGCGCCACCTGCGTATTCACACTGGAGAAAAACCGTACAGTTGTGAACAGTGTGGGAAAACGTTCACTAGCTCAGGTGATCTCAAAAGACATCACCGTATTCACACGGGAGAGAAACCGTACAGCTGTGAAGAGTGTGGGAAAACATTCACTGGATCAAATCATCTCAAAAGACATCACCGTATTCACACTGGAGAAAAACCATACAGCTGTGAAGAGTGTGGGAAAACTTTCACCACATCAGGTGATCTCAAAACACATCACCGTATTCACACAGGAGATAAACCGTACAGCTGTGAAGAGTGTGGGAAAACTTTTGCCAGATCACATCATCTCAAAACACATCAACGTATTCACACAGGAGAGGAACCTTACAGCTGTGAAGAGTGTGGGCAAACGTTCACGACATCAGGTGATCTCAAAACACATCACCGTATTCACACAGGAGATAAACCGTACAGCTGTGAAGAGTGTGGGAAAACTTTTGCCAGATCACATCATCTCAAAACACATCAACGTATTCACACAGGAGAGGAACCTTACAGCTGTGAAGAGTGTGGGCAAACGTTCACGACATCAGGTGCTCTCAAAACACATCAACTTGTTCACACTGGAGAGAAACCTTACTGGTGTGAGGAGATGCTCTTTTCTCCCTAACCCATCATGTATTTTCCTAAATCTTTTTATGTTCTAACCAGCGTTCACACTATGCCAAAACAAGGCCTCAGAGATGCTGTTTCTCCCGATGTCCTTCAAATCATTGTTCTACTATGCTATGTTTCAACCATGGTTTTCTAATAGTCTTGTTATTCCTTTTATAAAATAATATATGTCCAGGATTAAACTGCTAGCCTCGTTTAGCTGCATTGAAGGCATTTAGTTTCATTGTTCATTAATATGCCGAGTAGTTTTGGTTAATCAAATGTTGTGACTCTAAACTTTGATTGGGATGTTTTGATAGTTTCTTTTGAGTTAGCAGTCTGTTCTGGTCTAAAAGAACCAATGATGAATGTATCTAGAAAATATTTACAATCTTTTCAGTTTGATCCTGTTCTCTTTTATTTAAATTATCAGAATGTACCAAAATAAAAAAGGCCTTAGAAACAGACGCACATCTCTGCATATTTGTTGTGTTTTTCAACACATTATATCCATGTCATTCCCTTGTTTAGGGCTGCTGACTGCTGGATGAATTGTGTCACTCAAATTTTAATGTTTAACTCAGTGTGTTTGGCCTGGTTTGTTCCCATTGAAGGATTCCAGCACACAATTAGGTATTAAACAACAAAAAGTGTGTTTTTCCAACAGTTTAAGTCTCTGAACACCTATAAAATAAGTTAAATCAGAATTATAAAAGCATTATTTCAATTGCTTGTGGTGGAATAACTTTCTGGAAACTATTTTCATCAACAATGTATAAATTAAGCAATTCTTTAGCATTAGCAACACCATTTTTTCACGCTGATTAACATTTTGTTATTGAGGAAAACCTCTCAACTAATGGCTTATTACTTGTAGAATATGGTCATGTAGAATAAGGCATTAGTGACAATATACTGCTAATATGCATGTTAATTAACAACTAGTTAATGGTTAATTTGTGTACCTTATTATAAAGTGTTACTAAAATATGACCCCCCCCCCCCCCTATCGCAACATTTTTGCTGGGGTCACTGTTGGTGATTTATTCAGAATTCAAGGCTCACTTAACCAGCATGGCTACCACAGCATTCTGCAGTAGCCAGCAACATATAAATCAAATTCTGGATTTGAAAATGTTACTAGATAATTACATATGTGTTCTTTTACAGTTTTGATGTCTTCAGTATACATCTACAAAGTAGAAACAATTAAAAAAAAATAAAAAAAACTTCTAATGAGAATGTTTATCTAAACTTTTGACTGGTCGTGTAAATATAATCTATCGTACTGTGTTCATGTTTGAACCACTTGAGCCAATTAAACCTACTTCATCCAATCAATAGATTTGGATTTTAAAAGTATCCCACTTGCGGCTTTCACACCAGCGCTTTTCCCGTTCTAGCTCCGTGCTAGAGCTTTTCTGGTTCAGCTCCGGTTTCCCTTTTCTGCTCCCGCTTTGTTCACACCACACAGAGCCGGGGTGGTACTGCGCCATTGCCTCGTTTGCGTCATGACGTAACCGTTTACGTGCCTGCTTCATAAAAGCCAAACCACGCGGAAATCCCTCACATCGACAATAACAACAATGGCCGATTGTATTGAAGCGCTGTTCGCTTTGGTTATGCTATGCTATCGTTGTGTGAAAACTGGATCAAACGCAGGCATTTTGTTGTGGTTCAGAACGTTGATCCTGCCCCCGCCTCAACATAGGAGAGACGTAAGCGACGCCGCCTCTTAGCTCCGGAATCTTGCTTCTAGGCCGACAATGTTTTTGAGCTGGAACCGGGTTCCGGAGCTAAGAGGTGGCGCCGCTGCGGTGTGAAGAGGAAAAACCGGTACTTTTCAGGCTCTAGCTCCGAACCGGCCCTGAATACGCGTTGGTGTGAAAGGGGCAACTGACATTTTAGTGTGTCAATACCTGAAAAGAAACCAGCAGAGGGCGCCAAACCTCTCTTCTTCCAGCAACATCAACCAGCTCTGACTGAGAGATTCAAGGCAATCCTTACTGCCTTACTAATTGTAGGCCTACTTGATTAAAAGTAGAATTACTCAGATCCTGTACTTAAATAAAAGTAGAAGTACTCATATCTTGTACTTGAATAAAAGTAGAAGTACTCATATCTTGTACTTGAGTAAAAGTAGAAAACGATCTACTCTTTGTTTGTAGATATCTACTAAAGCCTTCAAATAAAGAGTGTAATTATAATTGAGTGATATATATTATGCACTACTTTCTGCACGGACCTCAGCAGCTGTTTTCACTGTAAACATCACGTCACGATTTAAGCAGTTAATAAAATTAAAATAGCAGTCTAATATCCAGGGGAGAGACACACTACAGTTAAGAAGTGTTGTTACTAAAGGCACTTGAAGGTGGGGTAGGTAAGTTTGAGAAACCGGCTCGAGATACACTGTTTGTTATATTCCATGGAATGCTCTTAACATCCCGATAGCAATGAATATCTTAAGTGCTTTGACAACAAATCCATAAAGCAATGTCATCTGTGGAAGCCGCAGTACTGTAAAAGCACGACCAATCCTTTTAGCCGGCCCGGCTAAAATAACTGGATGGCCTACCTGCCTGTCAGCCTTCCATCTGTGCACAAACTTATCTCGTGCCCTCATTGGTCATGTGTGCATTCGTGTGTGTTGGAGGAGGGGCTCTGTAAGGAAGTGGCAGATTTTTTCTGGCTGTGTATTTTCAATTCTAGCGCACTCGAGCTGGTTTCTCCAAAATTACCTACCCCACCTTTAAGGATACTTTACTGTCACACTCCGTTTTTGTAAGTACATTTGGACCTATAATGCAAAATGCACTCTTGTATGTCTTTTATACATGAATATGTGTCCCCGGTGTGTCAGGGACCTCACCAAGTGTCAGAAAATACAACCCTCTCTCTTTTCCTCTATACCCAAACCTCTAAAAACGGGGCTGCAACGGATCTGATACAGACTGATCCAGATTTTAATTATTTTCTACGTCACAAAAGTGGTGCTCCACTTAGTGGTCAATTCTCGACCTATCAGGGGAATGAGAGGTTGGGCCACGGCCGGCCATTGTCGCTCGAAAGTGCTTGAGATGCTGTAGTACATATGCCAGGCCTGTAATTGACGCTGTAGTCTGCCACAAAAGCAGAAAAGAAGACTTCCCTTGCATGGTTGGCCTTCTGTTTATTCTCCGCTGTGGCTCCTTTTCTCCCTCCCCGAGGCAAGCGTTTGCGCCTCCTGCTTTAAAACAAATGAATAATGACTCTATATAATCATATGTAATAATCCCGCTTATTACATGGCCACATTCTCAACAAAGTAACGATATGACTCCCAATATTAATTGAAATGCTTTTATGGATTTAGAAAATGATTTTATTGATTTAAAAAATGGTTGTATGTATTGATTTAAATTGACATGCATCCGCTAAGAAAAATAGTCCGTTGTTACCGTTTGAACTAACGTAGCAACGGCAGGAACTGCTTCGATAGTGTTTTTGAGGAGCTTTTTGATTTGATTTGTGATTTTTTTTGAGTAGCACAATTCATTATGTCAAACCTTGGAAAGTATCTAGATATCCCTGCCCTAATGCCAAAGAAACTGGCAACTGAATATGTGTCGCCGTTTGATGTCTATCTCTGGACCGCTGCGTAAAAAGGTGGGTTTCTGCCCCGTTACTTCTCTTCTTACTTCTATAATAACAATAAAACACGGAGGACGGAGATCTCTTTTTCTCCCCCTCTTCTGACAGCCCAGCTGATCTCAAAGCATGCTCCCCTCTCCTGCAGGGGGGCGTGGTCAGCTGCAGCTCACAGAATCAGCCCCCTGCAAAAACAGGGCTGGAAAGAGCAAATAGAGCGAATTGAGGCATGGCTAAAATGCAGGATCTGTTTGGTATTTTGAAAAAACAACTATATTTATATAGGTATGGCCCTACAATATATTGTTCAAATATAGCATGATATGACCCCTTTACTATGGTATAGTAGATTTTACTTAATATTACATTTGCATCTTATTACAAATCTCCAGTAAAACATATTTGGCTTTTCAGGTTGTTTTTACTTGCTTTTCTTATATTTAATAAATATGTATATAATATTTAAATATAATTATTAAGTATCAAATGCAATTCTTATTCAATAAAACAGTTTTACACTAAGGCTACTACAAAACATGAAACAGTAGACACTTTTAAAGGACACTATTCTGCCCCCGCTCCCGTGGCTGCACAGACAACAGGAAGAAAACTCTGCTTCAGAAGTTCCGTTTGAAAGTTTTACTCAGAAAGCACTGTAAAACTGGACTGGAAGAAAATGTGCATTCATTTCAAGCATAGCAATCATTTAACATATCATACATTTCCCGCGTGTGTTAACAACCATATAATAAACCATGCGTTAGCTTCATGCTAACCCCGATGGGAAATTACATTGAAAGGCTAGTGGTTAGCATACATCGTTGCAACTATGAATTCACAGCAATATTTCCACCATTTAACAATGTATCCCTCACACATACTCTTCATTAACAATGTTGAAACAACAGAGCATAGAAACACTTACAGGCATATGTTTTCTTAGACAACAATGCAGAGTAAAAACGTGCGTCTGAATCTGAATAGAGAGGCGAAGTCCCTCCCTTTCCGTGGGACCTCCATGGGACCTTATTTCGGAAAAATTCAATATAGTCTAGCTGCGGCCGCGGACAGTACACAACACTACACGACACTACACGACACGCCCACCTGACTGTGGCTGAGAAGGGTCTAGCTGCGGCCACGGACAGTGGAGGTTGAACCAAGCCCCCAGGAAGTGCGCCGGAGTCTGATGAGAATATTCGTTGTGGCCAAACGGCGGTACTACACTTCCGTTGTGGTCTCTAACTCGTTGAATAATTTTTTTTAAACTAAATAAACTACCCAGTATGAACGTTTGTATAGCCCTTATTAAAAACATTCGTTCCTCAAGTTGTAAAATGTGCTAATAACGTTATTCTTACGGCCCGTACACACAGCAGCTTTTGGCGATTTGTCCACCGCTTCCAGCGCGTCTCCGCCCATTGACTTTGAATGGGGATGACGTCACTTTCCCTCGCTTGTCGCCGAACTGCATTGTGGGGGGGCGAGGCGAAGATTTCCAGGATTTTCAGGATGTTCAGGATTCCAAAGTTGAACAATGTTCAACTTCTGAGGCTGAGCTGGAAGCGACAGCCAATCAGATCCGTTTATGCAAATCTGACAGTTCAAGCGCTAGCCAATCAAACCGCGTGCAAGCTGGGAGAACCAGACCCGCAGTTCATTTCTATATTCCACAAAAATGGAGGAGAAGTTAGTTATTGCGGTAGCAAATCACCCGGTTCTTTATGACCAGTCCCTATTTACTTACCGGGATACAAACCGGAGGAACCAGGCATGGAGGGAGGTGGCAGAGACAGTGGGTGAAACTGGTAGGTTTTCGCTTGTTTGGGGATTTTAT